GGCTTCGTGGTTCCAAGTTGCTGGCTGGGCTTAAACCACGACAAGCATCCACAAATTATTTTGTTGTAACTATTTAACCTATTTATACTGCACGTCGGTGACATTTCTAGACATCTGTGTTCATCTCTTTCACTCATTTATCATTTCATGTTTTCTTCTGTATCTCACAACCTGAATAAACAGAAATACTATTAAGAGGAATCTTCATCTGCAATGCTTAAACTACTAGTCAAATAATAACAAGGAGTTTCATGATCAGTAATGGGCTGTGAAGTCATCTTGTGTTACAGGAGTCAATGTTTCATTCCTACACACATTATTCCTTAGATCTCTGTTGTGTCCGTCTTCTGTGGATTTGCTTTGATTTCTTTATTGTTACTGCACCAGCTCTTGAAATACAAAATGCAAACAAAGCAAGCAGCGTTCGCTCACATTGTGCTTTACCACTGGCAATGAACTAGTTTGAAAGGATAAAAATGTTGGCCATGCTTCAAATGCTTAGCAGAAAGCATTTTGGTTATGTGAAGTGAGAAAGTAATCATGACCCACTGTTTAAACTGTGACGTACATCTGAAATGGTCTAGCAGCTTTTATGGATTTTTAAAGAACGTTTTAATTGTCATTTTTCTCTTGACAGATTTCCTTGACAAACTGATGGCATTGTTGTTCAAATTGTTGTCTGTGCATTTAAGATGCTTAAGCTAAAACATTTAGTTGCCATGGTTACCCAGGTGAATCTGTAGGCAGATTCATTGGAAAAATCTATCTGCAAATGTTAGTATTTTCTGTGTGTAAATTGATGTTCTGTGCATTTTATGTAGTTGACAGAGTCCTCAAATCAGTATCTGTAAGGTTAGTCTTTGCAGAGTCCCTGTTCTTGCTAAATTAATTTTATACAATATTTTTCCATATTATACTTTTCAAGAATCATTGAAATCACTGGAAAATTATATTTATTTTTTTTTAAACAAAATAAAGTAGAAGCAACTTTGAAACCTCAAGTTTTGCCTTAAATAATCTCCCTTTTTTGCACAGCAGTAAGTTAGTATATGTATGTTTAATTTAAATACTGGGGAAAGTGACAGGGCCTACAAAATTCTGCCACTCTAATTTACCATTGCAATACAGATAAGTTATCTAAACCCTTCACCAGCTTTGTTGCTGGTTGCTTATAATAATTACTATTGTATTTTGAATTTTAAATGAATCCTTATTATTATGGTTTGGGTGTCTTGTCTTTTTTCTTTCTGATAGGATGATACCACCTAAAGATCCCACTCAATTTTATATCCTGTTGTACTTGGCAAAATATCAATATGAAATACAAAAAATACATAGGCAGCTGGAAACTCTATTTTTCCATTTTAAGTCAGAGCTTGAAGAGTTCAGGATATAAAAATGTCTTTTGCCTGACTGCCATCTCCAGGCTGTTGTCTAGAGCAACTAAGCCAAATGCAGGCTTCATACCCGCAAGCACATCTCTTACGTACCTGTAGGCTTCTACAGCTCATTAGGTCACTTATACTTCCCACAAGTTACACCCATTAGGAGTATTTTCTAAGTTTGTTTTCATTAAGGGTTTTTCTCTGTTTAAATTTTATTCCATTCAAAAGGAAGGCCTCTTCTAATATCAAGAGGTCCTTGCTGGAGACAACATACCTCTGAATTTGTATCATCAGCAGTATAAAAACACCTCATCCTATGGTTTTTCCAGGACCATATCATTTTGGTGTTCATTACAATTAAACCCACAGTCTTAATTTGTATGCTTACTAAGGCTGAATGTCCTAATTCTTTCTTTTATTGCATAAGGCTATGTTTGATGCTTTGTCCGACCTCCCTGAGTGGTATGGTATAAAAGAAATGCAAGCAAATTGGATAGGTGACTGTGTTGGATGCTCTCTTGACTTCTTGCTAAAGGTAAGTCAGAAATTTCAATGGTGCTGTCTTGGTTGGGCTAATCAGAGCCCCTGAAATGTGTGATGGAAATGGATTTTCAGATCTAAAAAGCTTGAAACCTACTAGAAGAGATTAATCTATGCTCACGCCCAGACCAGCACAGATTCCTGAAGAACACTGGTTTGGGGTTGAAGAGATGCTCCCTGCTATCCTCCTTTGGGAAGAGTTTGTGTTCAAGTGCAACATCAGATGCAAATTAACTGTGTGTATTTATGCCAACTAATAATAAAAAGCCAGGACATTCAGGGGAGCAGTGCCAAAAGCAGTATCAAATGGCATTGCACAAATCAGCTGGGTTCTAGTTGGGCTTTTCACTCCTGTGCACAGCACATTCTGTGTCAGACCCAGGCTGACCTTAGGCAAGCCACTTTACTTATAAAAACATAACTTTATTTCATTTACTACATAATTTGTCTATTATTTCATTTACTATATAATTATTTCAATTACTACATAATTAAAATAATGGAAACCAGTCAATTAGGTAGTGATGGACCTACAAAGAAGTCAAGGTAGAAAAATAGGAGAGGAAGGTAAAAGTAACCTTTAGAAAATTATCATTATCTACAGAAGGACTTCAGATTTTCCCATTTTTCTTAAGAGATGCAAAAGACTTCTTGAATACAATAGTGACAGAAGAGATTTTCAGAGACGGAATTTCAGCCCTTGTGCTTCAAAGCTTTATTGTGCTTATTTACTCTGCTCTAACATTTTAGAAGTAACTCTGTATTTTAAAATACCGAATTTTTGGGAACTTCAAATTGAGACAGCTTAAACTTTCTTAATACATCTGACTTGCACACTGCTGGGTGCATTTTTGGATTTAAGTTGTTCTAACAGTTGTTTCTAAAACGGTGTATTAATGCATGTAGTGGAAAAATCTCTTTTTAAGACCACAATATGCTCCATGGTTAATTGACCTAAAATATAAAGCCTGTCGATAGTGGTAGGAGGTAATTCTTAAGCAGTCTTGTAAGTTTATTGCTTGTGTTTTATGTCCAGTTAGTTTTAATGTTGTGCCACCTTTTGTTATTTTACTCTGGTATGTAAGTCGCGGCACTGACTTCATCAGAGAGGTATAGTGAAAAGCCTGGTAGCTGAGAACATCTGAAATTCTCTTTAGCTTTCAGAGGTAACATGTAATTTCTGTTTCTTGGAAACAAGGCATGCATATTAAAAGTGATTAGAAGAATTTCAGGTTACTTAACTAAGGATTGAATCTAGCTCAGTAGCACAATGTAATAGTATGATTTTAGAAAGAAAAAATATAGATATATTTGGATAAATAGAGGTAAAACTGCAAAAGAACTTTCTCAAGATCTAAAAGTAAATTTTGTCAAGGTTTGATCCTGGAAACTCCCTATAGTGGCAATGCATCCGGCTTTGATGCTGAGAACTGTCTCTGTAGAGTGATGTAGATCTGTTAGTTGCATAAAAAGGAAGGGGAATCTAAAACCGCTGCACTTCCAGGGGGAAATTTTCTGCTCTTTTTCAGGTGAATGGCAAAGTAACAGGAGAGAAGCTAGCAGCTTACACCTATACACCTGAAGCTATTTATGGAGCTTCTCATTTATATATCTTACCAACTCACAGGCTGTTGCATGGGAATAGCAGTCTCAAGGAAGTCTTTCAGAAGGAGTTCATCCCAGGCAAAGGTGATACTTTTCTCATACTGCATTTTGTTGTAGAACAGCAATTTTAGAGAATGATCTTGAGACAACATTTGTCAGTCTGAGCAGGAGTTGCTCCTGTTGAGAAGGAACAGGTCTCTTGATTCTTTGTATATGTCAAACTGGATCACATCAGCCTGTCCTGGCTACAGATGTGGTAAGAGCAGCTGTTAGAATTCTTCCTTTTATAATGGCTCTAACACTTCGTAGCATATAAAGCAATGGAAGAGATTCTTGTTTCCTCATGTACCAGAAGTGAATAGTCAAACTATGTGTCAGCACACTGAAAAATCTCACAGCCATATGGTAATTACTCATTTGCACAAAGACGGCAGAACCAACTCTTGCACCAATCATGATCTTTTCCTGACACAGGGAATATAAAGAGGGCAGTAGATCACTAATACATAGCAAAGTGGATCATTGATAGATAGCAAGATAATATTCTGCTATGCAGCTCCTTGGTTAATATACGACTTTAATGGAGTAAATTCAGAGTATCCCTACAGCAGGTCATGACTTGTGCAGAGGATACAAATAAGTGGTAATTCTTTAATTGGTTTCCTGAAAGCTCCTGCCACCAATTCTGCCTGTATTTAGCATTCCTTTTTTTTGGTGTTTGGAAAACCTGAGAATTGCAAGAGTAAATATAATGTGTACTGAATATTTTGTCTTTCCACTTCAAGATGGTACCCGATAATTATTTCTTTTCTTCACTGGTAAAGATGACATTTCATTCTCTGTATTTGATGTCTCTATATGTGCCATTTGATTTCTTTATATCTGATGTCAACAATAGTGAAGCAGGAATCTTGTGGGAAATCGTAATGGTTGCACAAAACCTACTTTATTTTTGAATGCTTCATTTCTATAACCTTAAAGAAGTTTGCCTGCTAGGAGAAAGCAATGGAGCCTGAATATGTAGAGTATGAAGAGCCTTTGTCTCAGAGCTGAGCAGAGCTTGAAGAATTCTTGCTAAGGAATAACGGGACAAATTTGCAGTTCTTACAGTTCAGCCAAATCAAAGCACTGACCACAGAAACACATATCTATACATGTGCCTGTATCTTTGTTGGATCTTGTCCTTTAAGCCAAACCAGACAAGTGCAAAACTTGTTTTTAGTAAGGACAGAGGTATATTTTTTTGTATTGTTTTTGTATAGAAACACTTGGGAAGGCTTTTTTGTGTCTGTTAACAATAAACTTCACCTTTTGGTTGAGCTAAATTAAGAAATTCTTGTTCAGAATGATGACAGTCGTAAGTCCTTGAAAAAGAGACAAAATTCTAGTAACTCTGCTATTGTTGTGTGCTCCTTCTACTTGTAAATACACTTAGGATTTCTTCTATTGAAATTGGAGGATTTCTCTTACTATTTCTTGAGCATTTCAGAGGCACAGAGTGGTACTTTCTGAAGAAGAGAACACAAGGAGAATTTCTACATGAACTTTTAGATTTGCATTTCAGCCATGGTACATATGAAGGGATAACAATGGCAATTAAGTAAAAAAGAAATTTTGGATGGGCTTGAATAGACCAGATTTTCACATTAACGAAGATTTTGGACAAAAATTCACTAGTAACATTAAAATTTTAATGTAATTTGTTATAATTTTTTTTCTTTTCAACAGGATAGTCTTGTAACTCCTTCACAGTGTTCTCATTTAAATAATTAGGAGGATATGTTTTCATAGAGTCATAGGATGGTTTGGGTTGAAAAGGATCTGCAGCTCATCCAGTTCCAACCCCCCCGCCCTCGGGCGGGGCACCTCACACTAGACAAACCCCCTGCCATGGGCAGGGACACCTCACACTAGACAATGTCACCCAAGGCTCTGTCCAACCTGGCCTTGAACACTGCCAGGGTTGGAGCATTTACCACTTCTCTGGGAACCCTGTGCCAGCGCCTCAGCACCCTCACAGGGAAGAACTTCTTCCTCATATCTAACCTAAACTTCCCTTGTTTCAGTTTGAACCCATCACCCCTTGTCCTATCACTACAGTCCCTCTCCAGCATCCTTGTAGCCCCCTTCAGACACTGGAAGCTGCTCTGAGGTCTCCACGCAGCTTTTCTTCTCCAGGCTGAACAGCCCCAATGTTCTCAGCCTGTCTTCATGTTTTCTAGGAGAGAAAAAAAAAGCTGTTGTATGGCAGAGTAACTTGAAGTTCTAATACCTTTACTCTTAGAGTGCAGCTCTCTATTTTAGGCTATTATTATTTATATAGAGGTGAGCAACCAGTTTTCAAACATTCATGTTTTCAGCCTAGACGAATGTATGTTAATTTAGAATCTGGGAAGTCTAGCTTTGACAGCATGAGGTGTCTGAGATAAAGAACAACATGAGGGCCAAATGTTTATCTCATTGTAATTCTCTGCATACATTCTTTTACATTTGTAACTGTAATATATCTCTTTACAGCCATTATAATAATGTGAGCAAATGAGCAGAAGGAAGATTGCCTTCATAAACTGGAGTTGTTTTGGGTTCCAGTATAACATCAAAATTATTGCTGGGTGGAAGAGAGAAGTTATTTTTAAAATCAGACTGTCCTACTCACTCAGCTTCCTGTTCAGGAGGCTTTTAAAAGAATGAAATGATTCCTTTAGTACTTTTTTAAGCAAAAGGGAGAAGCTCTGTGCAGTGGTTTGAACACTAGAAATTTTCTCTAGACTATGGCTATCAGACACCTGAAATTTGAAAAAGTAGTAATCAGAAATAACTATGTCATTTATGTTGAGAGATGGGATACAGTAGCCCTATTCTCTACAACGCTGTTACATATTTCGAGCAGATTTTATGCATTGCAGTACAAGCCTAAGATGTTTCTCAGCTCAACTATGAAGATAGGTGAAAAGAAGCTCTTAGCAGTCTGTATGGTGATTATTTTAATTGTCATCAACTTAAAGGCACTGAGAAAGTCAGAAACAAATCAAAATCTGGGGGGTTGAATCCTCAAAACTTGGAGTATTCAGTTTTGATTTTCTTCTTGGTGAGCCACCCAAGCTACACATTGTAAATTGGTTGCCATTTACTCCAGTTCTCACCCTTGATTCTCTCCTCTTGTCTCTTCTTTTCCTTGTGAACATATTCTCATCTCTAATATGAATATTCTGTTTGGAAATCAATAGGTTATGTAGTTGGGTTTTCTTTACACTGCTCAGTATTTCTGATGCTTTGTAGTTCTTCTGTAAGAAGATAGGTGCTCCCCTTCGGTTTCATCTGAATAACTGGATTTATTTTTGCATAATTTTGTGGCAGTGTATTTTAGTATATAACTCAGGGCTTACTAGAGAAAATTCATACAACTTTGCAGCAGGTCTGCATTTGGGTCAAGGACTCAATTTTTATATTATAATCCAGATCTTATTCTGTTTTATTCAGATGTTTATTATAAGCATAAGTTTGTTAGAAATGTGATTAGGCTTTTCATTTTCTTTCTTTTTGAAACAAAAAAGCTATTTTTTGTTTCATGCACATTTAAGATAACGAGCTCTAATAGTAAGTCATGTTCTTAGCATATCATCTGTAATATTTTACTTACCAAGATCATTCAATTTGTTTTCAGACTCACTCACTTCAGTGACAGCTGTGAATTTGCTCACCCATCAAGAGATTCCTGTAGTCATCTCAGCAAAACCCAACTTTGAGAATTATCTTGATACTAAAATAGGTACGTGACAATCTGTAAGTGGAATAATACAGTTTTCAGTTGCTGTGTTGGAGCACAGGATACTGTAAATCTTTGGACACGTCAGCTCTCTTCTGGACTTTGGAACTCTGTTCTTAGTTCCTGTTCTTCATTAATGAAGAAGGAAGGGAAAAGTAGTTATGTGGAATCTGCCTGGGGGGGAGGAGATTTACAGGATGATAAATTTTAATGGAAATATTATGAAATTAGTACATTTAATAAGCTTGTCATGGTTTAAGCCCAGCCGGCAACTCAGAACCACGCAGCCGCTCACTCACTCCCCCCACTTCTTCCTTCCCCCATTCGTGGAGGGATGGGGAAGAGAACTGGAGGAATGTAACTCCCATGGGTTGAGATAACAGCAGTCCAGTAACTAAGGTATAATACAAACCACTACTGATACCAATAATAATGATAAGAGGAATAACAAGGGGAGAGGACACAACCGCTCACCACCTGCTGACCAATACCCAGCCCGACCCGAGCAGCAATCTGGGCCTTCTGGGTGACTTCCCCCAGTTTCTATCCTGGGCATGACGTGCTGTGGTATGGAATACCCCTTTGGCCAGTTTGGGTCAGGTGTCCTGCCTCTGCTTCCTCCTGGCTTCCCCTCCTCCCTGGCAGAGCCTGAGACTGAGAAAGTCCTTGGTCGGACTAACCATGACTTAGCAACAACTAAAAACATCGGTGTTATCAGCGTTGTTCCCAGGCTGAAAGGCAAGAACCAGAGCCCTGCACCAGCTACTAAGAAGGAGAAAAAATGACTGCTACAGCTGAACCCAGGAAAAAGCTAGAATTGTTAAGAAGATTGATTACCTACAGTGCGCATGCATTTGGCTGTCTCTCACTATCCTTAATCAAAACAGTATCGCATCATCGTTTCACATAAGTATTTTGCAAACAACCCAGCCTTTTAGCTCAGTTTGTGTCTTATGCTTACACAAACTCTGTGCCTCCTCATAGAGCTGTTTTTCGGACAGTAAATGTACAAAACTTCCAAGTTTGACTTTTATCTGGTAACATCTGTGTTGAGGTCAGTAAAATAATTCAGAATAATAGTTCTGCTCAGGTAGTTGTAGACAGTTCTCTGGATCCTTTATTTTTAAAGGAAGAAGGTGCCTAATTTAGGATTGAGGATCCGTAAACAGAGGGGGAAGGATGTTGCTAGAAAATACTATGAATCGCTTGAAGCAGGCTTCTGTTCTCAAAGTTGTCCTGTGAAGCAGCCTGCCTTACTCCTTACCTGCATGGGGAGCCTAGCCCCTCAACTTGGGCAGCTGAGTACATAGGGTTAGATGATGTGACTGTTCTTTTAACTAAAATTGTACTAATGTCTAAAAATAGTGTCCATTTTAATCTGCACCCACTGAGCTTTTTGATTGCTCTTGCATTTTGCTATGTTCTTATGGACAATGTTCTGTAGCAGTCCTAATTAGAAATAGTTCTCTTATTTTCCCCTTTTCCACTACCTCACTTATCCCTTAACTCCCTTGTGCTGCCTCCCTGTTGATACTTCTTTCCTGCCCTGGAGCTGCTACTTTCTTTTCTACACCAGTGGCAACATTGGTTGCTCCTGCACAGCAACTGGACTGAATAAAACCATCTGACTGTTCAAAAATATCTTGGATGACTCTCGCAACACTGATGGAAATTATCCACTTGGGCTGTATACCTTACTTACAACATGTCTACATCTTACGCTTTAGAAATTAGTCTGGTTTTGAGAACCAGAATGTTTCCTCATGTAAGAGAAGTAAATAATTGAGATACCTAACCTTATTTTTCGTTAAAAGCTTCCAGCTTGCTCACTGGCACATACCTTCACCTTATGTCTGTTGGAAACAGCTCAGCTCTTCCCAGGAAGTTCTGGCTGCCAGCTGTTGAGCTTTGCAAATATATATGAATAGCATCACCTTTTCAAATGAAGAAAGAGCAAAAAGTGGGACCTGCTTTTGCCCATTTGTAGAGCAAATTGTGAAGCCACCTATTGCAGGCTGCAGGGCTCTCTACATTATTCTGTAAGATGGCCTTGAAATGGCAAGAGCTATTTTGATTATAGTTAAGGAGTTTCACGTGGGAGTTTTGCTTGGTTTTCCTTAGTTATCTTCTTCCAAACTCCCATATATTGACAGAGTTAATGTATAGCAGGCATTTCATTGCCTGAACAAAGATGATTGTTGAACTGGTTTTGAATGAAGTCATTTGCGTGTTAATAATTATAATGTGCTCAGCAATATTTTGAGATGTTTCACTGTAGTTTTCACTGACATAATGTTGGCATTAGCTTGTTGGAATATGTTTCTTTGTCTTTTAAAGATGACAGAATTTTGGGAGATTGTTCAAAATATTTCCCTAAAAGGAAAAACCATGTAGAAAGATGCATCTCTGTGGAAAAATAACAAATCTGTTAGTATCTCAATGTTATTTTAGATTACACGTGATAATAAAGTTAAGAAATTTCTTAACTCACCCTAAAAGATAGTCCTCTAAAGTAGAACTATGTATGACAGTCCCAAATAATAGGATGCAAAGGGAAATATAGCATCAGGGCCTTTAAGGACTGTCTTTATATAACTGACTTGGACAGCAGTAAGAAGTGCTCTCAATAGTTACATTCTGAATAGAAAATTAACCTTATTTGAATTCTTTTCCTGAGTTTATAAAAAAATCATGTCTTTCATAATATGTTAAAAGGGTAGTAATGTTAGAGACTGTTGTGCTGCGGTACATGTTAATAAAGTAAGAAATTACAAAGAGATTAAATTTCCTGTTGAAACAAGAGGACTGTTTCAGCTGGTGTGTCTCTTGTAGTAGCAAATAGGATTCAAATTTGTATTATTTAAATATATAATGCTTATGTAACACAACTGTATTGAAAATTTTATTATTTCTCCATATTTTATAGCTTTATTTTTACTCTTTTTTGGAACCATCAAATTTTCAGCCTTTTCTGAGGTAGGACATTGATGTATATTTGGATTACAGAGAAACTGAGAGATGTGTTTGTAATTATTGCTTTAATTTTATTGCTTAAAGAACATGAAAGTATTTTTATTGTTCTTAGATTTTTAAAATCTCTTGGGCAAACATAAGTCATTATAAAGAGAGTGTCACTGAAATCAAATATTTTATTATCAAACTGATGATTGAATCCATGTTAGTCAACCCCAGAAGTGATTTATTTTTTCTCCCCTCCTAGGAATTCCAAGTACTAGTGCGGAAGATGCTGCAGTCGCTAAGAATCTGGGCATTTCTTTTACTGAAGTCATTGAGACATTGCCAAATGGTTTGGAGAAAGTCATTAATTCTGCAGAGGTGGGTATTCAAGTATGGAGTTCTTTCCAACTTACAATAATAATGCAGACTGAATCTGTTGTCTCAAGAGTGCCAAATACTTCATATCATTAAAGGGATTTATTTATTTGCTTAAGAATCAAGCCAGGGTTATGCTATCAAATTTCTAGGAATACTTTTATGATGAAATATGTTGGCTTTTCTGTAGCAATAAAATGAGTTTTTTCCTTTTGTACAAGAGAGAAATGTACAGTATCGATCTGAGTTTTATAATGGAAACTGAATAATTAAACCCATGTTAAAAGTTGATTCTTATTTCATCATCTCAATAGATTTTTAAGTTAAATATTAACATATTAACCCTGTTTCCATGCATTCACTGAAATGTGGTGTAAGCCTTTATGCTAACATACCTGCCTGAAGTGACATAAATCTTTAAACAAGATATGTATGGTGTTACTGCTCTTGAAAAAATGCGTTCAATAGCACGCACAAAACTCATATTCTCTCATATGACAGGTAGGATCTAAGGAGTTAAGATGTATGTGAAAGCAAGAATAGAAAAACCTAAAATGAACACAGGAAAAAGTTTTACCATTTGGATTTCCTCAGTCTCCACCCTGTGTTTCAGCACCTATCAGTTGATTACAAGTGTCAGCAGTAAATGCAAATATCAGCCAATAAGGGCTGAAGGGGTCTACAAGTCTCTCAGCCGTGTTCTATTCAGACCATCAAGAACATTATCTTCTGAGTAAAAGGGTTTAAATGAGTAGCTGGTATGTGAATAGTCTCTTGGATAGAGACTGTAGTTGGAAGGGGGAAATGGTATGAGGCTCATAAAGTTTGAACTCTCAGAAATTGCATTTGTGACTTTTTTTGTCTGTTCTTGCATGTTCACTGGCACTGCTTCTCTGTGTTTTTCGTCAGATCACAGGCATGACTCGGCAGGAGGCTCTAAAAGCTATTACCCAGCAGGCCAAAAAAACAAGAATAGGTGGAGACCTAACGAGTGACAAATTAAGAGATTGGTTAATATCTCGACAGCGGTATTGGGGGACACCTATTCCTATCATTCACTGCCAGACATGTGGCATTGTCCCTGTACCTTATGAAGACTTACCTGTGGTGTTGCCCAATGTGACCACCTTCACAGGAAAGGGAGCCTCACCTTTAGAAACAGCTCCAGAATGGGTGAACTGTTCCTGCCCGAGGTAAGCCAGTGCTGCACGGAGTGCAGACTGGGAGAGATTGCTTTGTAACTGCCTATTTATTGTGTTCACCACTCTGAGACAGGATACCAGTCCAGAACGATCTTTAGTCTGACCCAGCACAGGGTCCTTTTTACAACAGACACCCACTGCTATTTCTTCATAAATAAGCTGAAGCAAAGCTCGCTGTTTTTAAGAAAACAGGGAAAACAGAATTATTTTCTCCCCCACCTCCTGTTTCTTAACAGTATTTCTTACTTCATTTACTACAATTTTTATTATCTTTCACCAGCAGAGTTTATATAAAGCTTCCTTTTGTTAAAGAAATAACATCATGTTCATTTTTTTAGCCATAATCCAGCAATAAAGTGTTTCTTCTGCTATATGTTTCTTTATCATGAAGAATCACATTCACTGTACAGATGACAGCATGTAATTCAGATTGAAGGAGATAGTAAGTATATGCATCTCATCAATGCCGTAATCTTTATTCTTTGTAGTCCAGCTGTTTAAGAAATAAAACAGCCTAAATTAGGAGAGAGATCAGTTGTCTAATCTTGAGGGCTGCTTAGATAGCTGGGTACACTGGAGTTCCCATACAGGTTTTGCAGAAAGAACTGGTAGTTTTCATCCCAGAGAAGTTTTTCATCAGCAGTGCAATGCAATGCTGCTGCTTTTTAGTATTAAAGCCTGCCTTCCATCTGGATGCAAGTCTAAGAAATATCTTTTTGGATAGTGTACAGTTGATTGTGCTCTACTTACGTTTTCTAAGTGTTCTGGAATAGGACAGTGATGTGCAGGTAGGTATTGTAGAGGAGTTGTTGCTGTACCTTCTCACAAGGACTTTTGACAAGGATATGTAGTGACAGGACAACGGAGAATGGCTTTAACCTGGCAGAGGGGAGATTGAGATGAGATCTGAGGTTCTTCCCTGTGAGGGTGTTGAGGCACTGGCACAGGGTGCTCAGAGAAGCTGTGGCTGCCCCACGCCAGGCTTGACGCGGCTTGGAGCAGCCTGGTATAGTGGAAAGTGTCCCTGCCTGTGGCACGGGGTTGGAACTGTATGAGCTTTAAGGTCCCTTCCAACCAAAACCATTCTGTGATAATTGTTCAGGCTTCTTTTTGGTTGTATTTTGTTTGGTTTGGGAGGGAGAGGGAAGGAGAGATGGCCCTGTTGCTGGTATTGGACTTTTTCTGAACTTGTGACTTTTCAGACCACTTTTCAGTCTAAATGTCTTCATGGCCACTCTATACACAGTTGGTTCTTTTTTTCTCCAAGCTTGTCACTTACCTAAAAATAGCTTTTCTCCTTCTGTCTTTCTCAGGTGTAAGGCAGCAGCACGGCGAGAAGTCGATACCATGGATACATTTGTGGATTCGGCTTGGTACTACCTGAGGTACACTGACCCTCACAACACAGAGAGGTGAGGGCCATAAGCACACGACTGTCTTGGGGCAAGTCACTTCACAGAGTAGATGGGAAGGAAGAGGCCAGGCACTCTGGTGCTTCTAGCTTCTAACTGCCTTTGTAGGAGACTGCATAACCCCCTGTGCTGCCCCAGTTTTCTTCCTGCCCTTTGGCCTGAGCACAGCACAGGGGAGACTAGGAGGTGCTCTAAAAAAGTGGCTTTTGGTTGCTTCCATGCCAGGAGATCTACAAAGCAGGATGTGTAGATGCAGCTGCGTAAGTGCGGGGCAAGGGACAGAAGTTTACATGAGAGAGCTCAGAGGAAATGTTCAGCTGAGGAGCTAAAAGATTGTCATTAGTGGAGGGTGCCAAGAAGAATGACAGCCTACCACGACTCTCGGAAACTGTAGTAAGTTGCATGGACTGTACCTTCCCTGGCAATGCGCTTGAGTGGTTCAGTGTGTGGACACACAATGCTTTTCCACCAGTTAGAAGACGAATAGTCCAGTGTGACAGCCAGCTACCAAGAACAGCACCTTCATTTCTCTGAATTCTAGTAACTTGCTACTTCCTCATGCACAGGCCTAAAGCAAAGTGGCATCACAGCAAGCTCCTCCTGTGTTGGCGCTTATACTGGATGCATAAATAATGAAAGGATGTTTTTTATATGCTGGGTATTAGTGGCTGCAGCATAGGAAATGTGCAAGAGAGATGTAGTCATTTTAGCTGTTTTTCTGCTTCATAGTGTGCCTGTAGTACTGCTGCTGGTAGCACTGCTTTTTCCAGAGAAGAATTAGTGGAACAGCTCTACTATGTAGTCTCAGGAAGATAAAAAGATATTTTTGAGATACTGATACCTCATCTAGGGCTGTTTGGGGATGTATTTGTTTGCTTATTGTCCAGAGCAGTTTCTGGGTACATACCGCATACCAAGAGATTTAGTATACCTGGGCCAATTATTTTTGCAGCACTAGTTCTGTTAAACTAAAGAAAAATCTTCTGTGAACACTTTTAATTCATGTTAATGTTAATTATTTGCTAGCGATAGTGTGGATTTAATATTAATGTTATTAAGTCAGGCACATTGCTTCCCCTTCAGTGACAGTTTGAAATATTACCTTATGCATGGACAAGAGGGACTTTTCCAGAAGTTGAAGAACTAGTTGGATGGAACACCCAGCTGTCAAAGTAACAGCTTAGTGTGGCTAAATCTGGTTTATATTGAAATAAGAACACTCATATGAACTTCTGCATTAGCTCACTGCCTCAATTTGATTTGTTTATTTGGATTTTTTGGCTAAGCTGCTTATATGTAAGCCTTTTATTTCCACGAGCTGTATTTCACAGGTCTAGAATTTGGGATAATTACTCTGTTGTTTTTAGAACCCTGTGAACAGGTTAGTTTTGATTTGTTCCACTGAAGACATGAATCCCAGATCCATAGTTTTCTTCTGGGCTCATCTGTGAGGAAAAAAAGTATTGCTCTTACAATAATTACAGGTGAAATAATCAAACAGACTGACCAAACATATACATTTGCTGGAATGGGTCCACAAAGCATACATTAAAAACACGTACATATGGTATTTTGCAGGCAGGAGCCCATTACAGAACATATAACAATATTTAATGAAGAAGTAAGCAATGCTAGAAAACCATACAGATGACCCCAAATGACAGAGTAAATATGCTGTAAATGACAGATTCACTGTAAATGACAGATTCACTGTAAATTCATTGAGTATCCTTCAGTTGGAGTGCAATGGCCCATCTGACTCTTCAGAATGTTTTGCAGCCTTAAACTGCTTCATTGCTCCCTAATGGCAATAATGAAAACCTATTATTAAAAAAACCCCTATTTTTGAGTAGGCAAGTCTTCTGTCTTTCACTCTCATATATTTGTATGTAACACTTCATAAATACTGAGAAATTCAAAGGCTAGGCACAGGGTGTGTATAAAAAATAATGTATGTGAAATCATAGTTGCTTGTCTAAAACAAAGGAAAATAGTATTTTTGTGGCTCTGCATCTCAGTGGAAATCAAATTTTTGTCTGTAATTTCATAAGCATACCACTTAAAAATGTAAAAGATCTCATAACAAAATAGAAGGTTTATTACGCATGTATTGCTCTCAGTGGTGTCCAGTCAAGTATGATGAGCTACTTAAGTAGAGCTGATCTTTCTTTTCGACATTGTATTTTTAATATACTTGTGGTTTTTTTCAGGCCCTTTAGTAGTGAGTTAGCAGACTACTGGATGCCCGTGGATTTGTACATCGGAGGAAAGGAGCATGCAGTTATGCACTTATTCTATGCAAGGTTTTTAAACCATTTTTGCCATGATCTAAAGATGACAAAACACAAGTAAGCCTTTCATATTTCTATAAAAACCTTTTGTGTTTCATTTGACTAGCAAGAGTGTTTGTGGGCATTGTTACAATGGTAGAACATCACAGTGAATAAGCCTGAATATTCCTGCTTGTCAGTCTTGGGTAACTACTTGATTTCTCACAGTTAGTTACATTTTCTGTATGCATACATAGATCCATAGCATTTTTATTACATGAGTAGTAACAGGCTCAGGGCAAGTGATAAAATGATACTGTGGATTTTCAGCCTGCAAAAGCTTGCATAAACCACTAACTTCAGGCATTCTGAGTAGTGCTAGTATTTCAAATCAGGGAACTCCCTGCCAGTAATACCATTAATTTCAGTGAAACTATGCATATGTAGAAAAACACTCCTATAATCACTGCAGTATTGGAACTAAGCAGTGCAAAACACTTCATCATAAGCAAAAGCAGTACATTTATCTGCTGTCAATTTATTTGTTATTTAATGACTTTTATATAATTAACTGCTCTTGCTGCTGATGCTACTTTAGCCTAATTCATTATTGTCTGTTTTGGTTAGAGGTAAAGGTTGAGGCAGGAAGGTGAGTCATCTGATGTTCTGTTCATTGTCCTCTCAGCTTGATGTCCCTATTTCCACTGATATTCTTCCATCCGTACCCTAAAATGGCATCACAGGCATGCATCAACTGGGAAGAAGGAATGCCTCAACTGGGAGGATACTAGTGTCAGAGCAGTGAAATACTGTCCCATGCTCTGTCATGTTCTCCCATCAGCAGCCACATTTGAATAGATTGAGTCAAAATGAGTGATCCCCTGAGAACTGCTCAGTAATTTTTCAGCTGGAAACTCACGTACATTCATTCTTTACTAGTATCCACTCTAAAGACTTTGATGTAGAAGAGGAACCTACATCTACGTGGCAATGAACTCTTCAATGTGGTAGTTTTGCTACAAAACTAGAACTTAAGTAGCTGTGTGCCAGAAAAAGATGGACTAGTTAGTGGAGCCAGCAGAGTATTTCCCTGAGTTATTCCATTATCATTTGATGAAAATAGGAGATGCGTTTTCATTGTTCATTTTTGCCTTCATAATAGTTTGCAGTGGAAGCTGTATTTGAATTTTTGGATGTGGATGATTTGTGTACCCGTGTCTCACTCTGTTGTATTCAGCTTGCATAGCTGCAGCAGGAAAGCTGTCTCCTCTCAGGGAGCGGATCCCAAAGCAGATCCTTTCTCTTGGAGGCACTGTTTCTTTAAGCAGAGAATTTCAGAGCTTTCCTGTGCAAATAATTTCAGGCATATCAATTCTACAGAAGATTAAAGTCCTAATCTTACCACTCGTCTAGTGGCGCTGTTAGGCAGCAGCAGAATGTTCTTTGGCTAGTCAAATTCTTCCACCTCCCAAAACAACATTAACAACAGTGGCTGAAGTATTATCACTAGGAAGTAGGATCACAAGGAAGAGGAGGTTTGCTTGCTCTAATATGCAAGAAAATGAGGAGGTATGAAAAGAGGCCAGCATGGCTGAAAAGGAATGTCCTGAGTAAGCTCAAACACTAAAAGAAGTGCATAGAAAGTGGAAGTGAGGATGAGCTGCCCCTGGAGGAATGTGAAAGCATTGGCTAGGTAGCCAGGTTGGAATTGAGAAGGGCCATAAAACAACCAGGATTGAAACTGGTGAAGAATGTGAAGGCAGAAGGGCTTCTGCAGGTACACTGAATAGACCATTAGTGAAAATGTTGTCTTGATGCACACTCAAAGAGCCTAGTAGCAAAGGACAGTCTTTGCCTTGGCCTTTGCTGTCAAGGCCTGTGCTTAGCAGGAGAGTTTGAAGGAGAGAAGTACTACTAGGGTAAGAATGAGTTAGAGATCCCTTAAGTGAACCAGAGATGTACAAGTTCCAAGCAAATGAAAAACAAGGTGACTGGGAGTAGTCACCATGGATTTGCTAATTGGAAATTATACCCAATACATCTGCCTTTCTTCTATGGTGAGATGATTGCCTCTGTGGGTGAGGAGAGAGCTGTGCCTATCTTTTACCATGACTTTAGCAAGGCTCTTAAGTTCTCCTTGACATCTTTGTAGTCTGACTGAGGAGATATAGGCTGAATGGGTGGGCTGCAGCATGGGTGGAAAAACTTTGAGGACTTTCAGGCTCAGACGGTCAGTGTTCAAAGTCTGACTGGCAGCTCTTTGCAAGTCATATTCCTCAGGAGTCACTGCTGAGGCCAGTTGTATTTAACCTGGTCATCAACAACCTGGGCAGTGCACTGTAGTGCTCACTCACCCTCACATGTTCATCACTGCACACTGAGCGAAGCCATTGATACTTTGAATGGCAGGGCTGCTACACAGAGGACTTGACATCTTGGGGAAGCAAGTCTGAAATGCTGACAGGAAACTCAGATACATAGAGCAGGTTATCCTCAGAAACAGCTGAGGTTGCACGGACTATGCGGATTAGGGCAGACAAGGGCTTTAGGGGTCTTGATGAGCACCGTGTTAGACATGAGTCAGCAGTTGGTGTAAGAGTGTACTGCATTGAATTAGGAAAACCATGTCCAGCTTTGATTATCTCTGCCCAGGAAGTCATCTGGGATATTGTGTCCAGTTTTGAGCCCCCTCCTTCCCCCCCAGTGTGAGGGACATTGTCAAACTGGATCTAGTGGAGGAGCACTATGATAGTCAGGGGCTGGAGCATATGCCATACAAGGAGAGGTTAAGGGAGTTGTGTGTGTTAGAGAAGGCTAATGATGGAATGTAACTGCAGTCAAGTGCAGAGGTTTATAGAGGAGGTGGAACCAGACTCTTCTCAGAGTTGTACAGAGAAAGGAAAGGAGTAACAGTCACAGATTGCAGCAAGGTTCAGCTGGACAGAAGGAAAATGGTTTCAATGGTGAAGATGATCAGACTGGAACAGTTTGGCCAGAGAGGCTGTGGCATCTCCAGCAATGGATGTTGTCAAAACTCAGCTGGATGGGGCCCTGAGCAACCCAGAGTCAGGGCTGCTGTGAGAAAGGACCAAATGACTTCCAAAGGTCCCTCCTGACCTACATTATTTTTAAGTCTTTGTGATTCTGTAGCTGTGTTAATTTCAGATGTGTTTTGTTCACACTCCACTGTAGTAGCAGTACTCCAGCAGTGCTCCACTGCAGTAGCACCAAAGCTGTGTAGATTGGTCTAAATATGGTGAATTGCAGAAGAAAACTCTGCCTTCAACAAAAAGAAAATTCTTAAGAAGCAGTGACTGTGTATAGTGACAATAGCAGAGAAAATCAAAGTTGCTTTTTGTAGAAGTTGGTTTCCAAGACTGGAGAATTCCTTTGACACCATATGCAATCTCAAGAGCTGTTGCACATGTGAAGGTTGCAGCTTTGCCCTTAGGATCTGTTGTTTGTACTGCTTACACGTGTGCTCAGACTGCAAGATCGTAGAATAGTTAGGGTTGGAAAGGACCTTAAGATCACCTAGTTCCAACCCCCCTGCCATGAGCAGGGACACCACACACTAAACTATGTCGCCCAAGGCTCTGTCCAGCCTGGCCTTGAACACCTCCAGGGTTGGAGCATTCAGAACTTCCTTGGGCAACCTATTCCAGTGCCTCACCACCCTCACTGTGAAGAACTTCTTCCTGATATCTAACCTAAAGTTCCCCTGTTTAAGTTTAAAGCCATTACCCCTTGTCCTACCACTAGAGTCCCTAACGAAGAGTCTGTAACAAATTCATTATCTTGTACAAAACTGTTTGCTTGCTTTAGCTTAATGCAAAGCATTAGGTGCTTTTAAGACATGAATTCAACTTAGGATTTTGTTTTGATATGAAAATATTACCATACGTTTTAAATGGCTTAGCATTGGTCAGAAGTTGCTTTTGCTCAGTCTTCTGTCAGGACTGCTCAAGGACTGGTCTGAGAGATCTGAAAAGGGTGATGAGAAACAACAAGCTTACTGTTAGGAAGCTTAAAGTGATGGTGTTGAAGCCACAGCTTCGAGGGAAAACATTCAAATGTTAAACTCTGCCCTCTTGTGCTTTTTCAGTCTTCCTCTAGTAGCTCAGGTCTTGTTCACCGATTTAAATTCATAAAACTCTGCTACATCTCAGAACTGCCACCATTTAAAGTGTTATCTGGTATCCTGGCAAATTCTTTATGAATACCTATATTCATCTGTAGTAATTTTTTATTTTTGATAGGTTTTATTCATGGAAATTTTTATTGTTTGGCTCCTATCCTCTGACTTTTGAATCCATTGAAATGTTTATGATAGTCTTTAATTCTGTACTGATGACTATTAATAGAATAATGAGATTGAAAACAGAAGTTAAGAATTCCATAGTTTAGATTTTCAAAGCAAACTCTTCAAATCTGATGTTCATTATTATATGATCACAGACTGGTTTGCGTTGGAAAGGACCTTAAGATCAATCAGTTCCAACCCCCTGCCCTGGGCAGGGACACCTCACACTAGACCATGTTACCCAAGGCTCTCTCCAGCCTGGCCTTGAACACTGCCAGGGATGTGTCACGTATAAAATAGGCATTTACAGACATCACACATGCTTTCATAGAAAATGCAATGACAAGGCAGAATAAATGACACCCTCTGGGTATTGGTACATGTGGTAACAGGTTACGTGCAAATTGATGTCATTTTGGTTTAGCTGTCTGGTCTGTAAGTGCATCTAGAATTGATTGACAAGTCAGCCTTTCCAGCTGTGACCACTGCTGGGACAGGAGCCAGGAAAGCAGCTGGGATCAGATGATGTGACCCATTCCAGCCCTAACCATTCTATGATTCTATCTGTTCCAGCTTAATCCACCATGGCCAGTATGTGCTGACACACTGTTACCCCTGCTCAACTGTATTATTGCAAGTACAAGTTTCACAGAATCTGACTCTTCCCCAGGCTTTAGTAATTGGTTTTGTCTGATGAATAACTGGAATTGGGATCTAGCACATTTCCCTGATGGACTGTAAGGCAAAACCAAAGCCTATTGCTACCATTAAGGCAGCAGATTTGACTGTGAGAGAGAGCAAATCTGTTGAGTAAGAAGGCACTATCTTCACAGAGCTGCATTACAGAATAAAAGAAGATGTGTGTGACAGAAAAAATGCATTTTGTAAAGGAAGGATGCTAGAGCTTCTCTGTTGTCATTAAAGACTTCATCACTAGTGTTGATTTTAAGTAAAAACACTCAGCTATTGACTGTGTAAGATCTTGAATGTTCAATATTGTTTGATCTTTTTTCTGCCTAAAATGATCAGTTTCCACATCCTCCAGTTGCTTCTATTGTCCCATCCCTGGCAGTGTTCAAGGCCAGGTTGGACGGAGCTTGGAGCAACCTGGTCTAGTGGAAGGTCTCCCTGCCTGTGGCATGGGGTTGGAACTGGATGATCTTAAGGTCCTTTCCAACCCAAACCAAGTCTGGGGTTGTATTCTGGTCTTCCACAGGATTGCCAGGTTGTTATACCTTGATCTAACATCAGGTTTCACAAGCACCTGAACTCAGCTGACAGTGACTTACCAAGGTCTTGTCTTCACTCTAGGGCACAGCATCAGGATCTCTCAACCTTTCTAAAGGTGCAGGATGCAAATACATGCAGTGAGTGCCCTTGCTAGGGTTATCGCTTCTTCTGAGTCCACTATTTATCACTGTTGTAGGCTCCACAGAGTCCTTCCAGCCAGGTCAGTTGCAATTGAATTGAAAGTCCTGCTACTACCCTTGCACAGAGCACAGCAAGGAGCATGAGGACATGGCACTGAGCATATCCATCCATTGCGTGCTCCTATATAGAGAGATTGGTCTGTCATAGAGAAGAACCTGTATATGAACATTAGTGAAAGGAGTAAAGATGAATTACACATTTCATAGCTAGGAGAGCTGATCCTTCTCAGAGGTGTCAGGTGAGTGACATTCCAGCTGATGTACAACATGAGCAAAAGCTCCACATAAACCTAAGGCCACAGTGCCCATACTCCAGCGTGGGTACAAGCAAACTTCACAGGCAGGTGAAGGTGTATTCCATTCCAGCATCCTTACAATCTGAAATGTGATGGAGCATTTGAAGAAGATCAAGCCACCTCTTCATTTACTGTGCCAGGATGTCTGTCTATGTGAGTATCACTTAATTTCAGTGGTTGGCAGGGATACAGCTCAGGAGGGGTTTATGACAGGGAAAGTTCAGGTTAGATCTTAGGCAGAAGTTGTTCCCTGTGAGAGTGCTGAGGCGCTGGCACAGGGTGCCCAGAGAAGTGGTAAATGCCCCAACCCTGGCAGTGTTCAAGGCCAGGTTGGACACAGGGGTTGGAGCAACCTGGTCTAGCGTGAGGTGTCCCTGCCCATGGCAGGGGCTTGGAACTGGATGAGCTTTAAGGTCCTTTCCAACCCAAACCATTCTATGATTCTATAACACCAGGCCATGACTGGGTGCTGCAGTATTTACATCAGAATTGCATCCAGCCTCCTGTGCTTTGGTGTCTTGGCAGCTCCATTCTGCAGCCAAGAAACACATCGCTGTCTTCAAAGGAAAAAGTTTTGGGTGTCTTTATTAATCTACATTAAAGTGTAACATCTGCTTGTGACCATTAGATGGAGCCACCACAACACTGGCAAAGTCGCTGTGCATTACAGGAAAAATTCAGTACTCGGTTTGTTTCTGAGCCCTGTGTTTATTAGATGGGCTCTGGCTTTCTCATTTTGGGCACATCTCCTTTCTCCTGCGGTCTCCCACTAGGAACACGTGGGGTGTTTTTTCCCCATACTTGGTAATGTATTTTATATTGCATTTTTTTAGCCTCTGTCAGCATAAACAAAAATAGGAAATGCTCATTCCTGCCTTCAGCTTTTAATAACTTGGCATATGATCTGAACTAGCTGTTTGTCATTAAAAAGAAGTGTTTTTGAAAAATCACTTCCATGGGAGAACTCTGTCTGATTTGGATGTTCTGGATACCTCATTAGCTTTATTTTAGATAGCAGGAAGTGTAGCTATTTCAAAAACTGCTTGAAATCTCAAACAGACCAAAGTACTGAATGATAGGGGGGACATTGTTTTTATTTTTCCGTGGTGTAATGTCTTTGGTTTGTAGAATAAACTATCCTGAACAATTCTCTCTTGAAGGACTTTTTCCACCATTTGTTGATATGATTACAGGGGTTTTGTTCCTGATTTTCATCTTCTATTTCACTTGGATAATTTGTGATAAATCTTTGAGATTTTTAGATAATGACTGCCTCCTATTTTAAAATACTTTTTCTTGTTTGTACAAATTTGACTTCTCCTTAAGTTCCTTTAATTTACTTCTAAACAGGATTTTTCGGGCAACCTGTGAAATATTTGCCTAGAAAATATTTCTAGAGGTGCCTGAATTGCTACTCCTGACACTGTTGATAAAACCAGGTGGCATGGCAGAGGCTTGTACAGCTTCATGACTGAATGATGCACCGCTGTGTGCCAGTACTTGTACAATATACTTCTAAGTATAGAAAATATGCAAGGAAGGAAACACATGTTCAAACATGAATATGTTGGAGATAAAGTATGAAGCCTGTCGCATTTTATCTCCCAGTTGAAGGCTTTTTGTTCAAATATCTCCTTAGAGTCATCAAAAGAGTTTGAAGGCTAGTACTTGGAAGATACCTGCTTCAATACAGTTAAAGCATCCATAATTGTTATATTATTAAATAATACTTTAACTATGTTACTAAATAAATTACTGTGTTTTAAATCACAAGATAAATTTTTATATCATTTATATTTCCTAATAATGTAAAATACTAACTTAACACCTTAGAAGTGAGTAGTGTTTTGGATTATGGCTTTTTGTGCATGTGAAGTAAAATGCAGAAGTCTGATTTTACTGTCTCTTCTTCAGATGGATTTATTTTTGCTTTTTAAAAAGTATGTACATAGGAGTCATGCATCATTTTTATATGAGTTGTTTTGGTAGATATGTGGGGCCTGGTTAGGGGGAAGTGCGGAGGATCCAGCTTGCTTAGTGTTGAGTCACACATATGTGAACATTAGAAGGTTTAAGTCAGGAGTAACCAGTGCTGATTAGCATGATCTCCAAAATGATGGTCAGCAATACGGTTGTGTTGGAAGATCCCATAAGAAGACTCCCAGACTCTGTATGCCTTCTGGGTCTGGCTCCACACCTCTTCCCTGGCCTCTGCTCTTCTTGTGGTTGCTGTTAGAACTGCCTCACTTTCCTGGCCTATTGGGTAGGGAGCAAAACCTCTAGAGATGAATTTTGTTGTCCTTCTTTTCAGTGAAAACAGCAACAGACATCTGACTCAATGAATTAGAAATGCAAGATTATTAAAGAAGGTAGCCTCAACAGTCAAACAGAGCAGTGTTTAGAGTGTAGTTCATGCTGAGTGCACTACTGACCTTGAGTGCACTACTGCCCTTAGCTTTGGTGCTTTTAAGGCTCTCTCTAGCTCTATGGTACACACATTGCATGAGAGTTTACTCTTCCAGACATAAATTTTGCTAGAAAAGGAAAGATTTAAAGTTCAAGATGCTGAAAAAATTGATCCACTGAACACACGAACTTTCCGAGATTGCCATTTTTCTAGTGTACCTTTTTCTTACAGCTAGGTCTTCATGGCTAGTCCTGCAAAGGGACAAGGCATGCAAGTGCTTATGTCAGGAAAACTGTCTTCTCTGTTTATAGAAAGAAATGTGCAGCAAGATAGAACTAAATATTTGTAAGACAGTGAGGCCAGGTACTTGAATGCTTTTACACTTGGAGATTCAGCTTGAAGCTAGGGAAATTACACTGTTGGCCAAGAAACGTTTGTGTATTATCCGTATGCTAATTTGAAAGGTGATGTTAGAATAACTCAGTACTAAATCAGGACGCAAGAATGTGTGCAGAATAGAAATCAATACTTCCACTTGCCAGCCAGCCACCATGAATAAATGCACAAAGTCCTTTCTAAGGTGACAAGCATTTATGTACAGTCAACTTGAAATTCTTGTTTCATTAAGTAATTGTGCCTGATTGGCTCAGCACCTGAGGCTTATCATAAAGTATGCTTTTGACAGCTCTTTTCAACAGACAAGTTTCTTTTTCCTTCCATCCTTAGGGAGCCTTTCCATAAGCTCTTGGTTCAAGGTCTTATCAAGAATCAGACATTCAGACTAACAACAACAGGCCAGTGTTTGAAGAGGGAAGAGGTTGATCTCACGGGTAAGAGAGATTGCATGGGAAAAATCAGCATAGGTGCAGCCAGAAAGTCAGGGACTCCTTCAGTGTACAAGTCTCAGTGCTGGGAAAATCTGGAAGAGAAAATTAATCCTTGTAATATTTAAACTGGAAAGCAATGTCTGTGAGTTTTGGATTCATATGCACTGCTGAGTGCACAGAGACCCTACTAATCCAGCAGCTTTGAATTGCATCCAAACACAGAAACAGTGTGATGGTATTATTTTAGCTCCAGTAGCATCCAAAAAAAACAGTTTTATTAAGTCAGTGCTCAGCTGCTTGCTGAATGGAGCTAGTCGTCCCAGCAAACAGACTACCTACAAAAACATTGTGGCAAAGCTAATGTGTGTTGTGTATTCAGTAGGTGCTAGGAATGTAAAATATGTATAAGGGAAGAGTGCTGTTTCTCAAGTTCTTTCCAGCGCTTTCACTGCATAAACTGGAGCAGCAAGTCCTGGCTGGGGGACCTGTAGCAACAGGAGTGGTTTGATCGCATTTGCCTTGCTTAAGCACTCCCCTGTTCAACCTTTTATTCACTGTTTTCCTGCGTACAAACCCCCTTAAGTTTGTCTCTCTCTGGTATCCTATTTTCATTTAGAAAAACTAGGGCTTTTCTGGAGCAGGTGGTTTTTCTTGATTGCACCTTAATTAGCGTAAATGTCCTTTTACATCTCTAAAATGAATGTGACAGAAGGCACGTTCTTGACAGGATAATTTACTGCAGTTGAAAACAAACACCTACAAATCTGGTGTTTGTAAAAGCTAAGTGCAGGTCAGAATTGTACCAAATCAGTACACCTACCTAGGAGGTTTTAAATGGCGTGGTTATAACAATGCTTAAATCTCAGAGGCTGTCACGGTAGCACATTAGTGCCAGATACAGCTTCCAGATGGTAGAAAGAGGCTTTCTGTCATGATGTAATGGAAGAATTGGCATGTTAGTGGTGTTAAAACATTAAAGGGAGAAACCTTGAGAGGGAAGAGAGTGTTTACAATGGGTGGTTTTCCTCTTTAAGCTGGTTGGAAACAAATAAAATCCACTAGAAATAGTTGTTCCTTCTTAAGTTTAGAGAATAAAATTAATTGCTGTTACAAATGAGCAAAAAATACACATTTTGCGTATGACTTAATATTTAGGAACTGAACCCATTCACCTAAAAACTGGTGAAAAGCTCCAAGTTGCTTGGGAAAAAATGAGCAAATCAAAGCATAATGGAATAGACCCTGAAGAATTAGTGAAAGCGTATGGCATTGACACCCTACGTCTTTACATCCTGTTTGCTGCTCCTCCAGAACAAGATATTTTGTGGGATGCTAAAAGTAAGTTCGATTGTTTCTGTTGTTTTGTTGGTTTGTGTTTGGTTTGTTGGGGGGGTTTAGTTGGTTGTTTTTTTCCCAGTGTGTTATATTTTAAGCACAAAATTAATGTAGTTCTTGATGACCAAGTTTTGGAACAATTGAATCCAAAAATTATTATGAGCAGGATTTATTGTTTGTTTCTTTCAAAAGAGAAGGGGTCACAAGGCTGATACTGAGAGACAGACTTGTAAGGTTATTGCAGGCAACTTCACCTTAGGAGCTAAAAGCATATATGAAAAGTACTCAAGTGGTATTTTCTTCTGCAAGCTTGGATTTCATTCTCTTATTTTTAATTAGCTGTGATTGATTGACTGAAAATTATTATTTTAAGGTTTTCTTATAAGCTGCTTTTTTAATCATATCAGATTATAAGTAACACTTTGCAATATTTTATTATTTCTATTTATTTACATATGCAGTGGCTTTTGTAAGCTGGACTATGAAATACTTGTCGAAGAATCTCATCAGAAGATAATCATAGAATCACAGAATGGTTTGGGTTGGAAAGGACCTTAAGATCATCCAGTTCCAACCCCCTGCCATGGGCAGGGACACCTTCCACTAGAGCAGGTTGCTCCAAGCCCCTGTGTCCAACCTGGCCTTGAACACTGCCAGGGATGGGGCATTTACCACTTCTCTGGGCACCCTGTGCCAGCACCTCAGCACCCTCACAGGGAAGAACTTCTGCCTTATATCTAAACTTCCCCTGTTTAAGTTTGAAGCTGTTACCCCTTGTCCTACCACGACAGTCCCCGATAAAGAGTCCCTCCCCAGCGTCCTTATAGTGACTAATATTTGTACACACATGACACTTTTTATGAGCTTATTACCTGAGGAAGTTAAGATTTACCCTCCTACACACTTACTTACTGCCATCATACCATTTGTCACACTGACAAATCTTACTTTCCATTATCTACTGTGGTTCGTACATGTTAATAATAATCTTATGCATACATTTAAATCTAGCCCTCTTGTTGCATAAGGCTTTAATCAAACACTTCGTACCTCATTTAAAGAGGTATACTGCTTCATTCTTTCTTGTGTTAGCTTCTTACTAGTTAGTTCAGCCTGCAGTAAGCATTATTTCAGTTGGTGTCTGTCACCTTTTTACATTCGTATGTGTTCATTTATATGTTACTGCACTATTGTGTGTACTGGAGGCTTTGTGACCTTTCTCATTTGGCTTTCTATGGCAGTCTAATCACAACAGTACAAAGCTAGGCATGTGAAAAGGTCTCTTAAAAATATCACTCACTTGGAATCAAGCTTTAACTCATGCACCTCTAACAGTACACAGGTACGTAATTCCCTCTGAAGCAGTAAATTCAGTGATGAACACTCTTTGCTGTATTTTTTCAGCTTGAAACTGGAATAATTATATGAGTGTGAGAATCATGGGTACAAAATCTTAGCTGTAAAGTACACTAGAGCTTGGCGATTAGACTTTTTTAAAGAAAGCTAAGCACATGCAGGTATAATGCTAGCAAAAATGCATTTAATCATTCAAACCAACCAGTTTCCACTTGAGAATTACAAAGAAAGATTTCGGAGTCATGTTTTGTTAAAAGTGTTTGAAAAAGTGAGCAAAAGAAGATGTTAGCAGCCTAAAGATACTTTCCCAGGGTGGGGGGGGATGGGGGCAGGAAATGGTAAATAGGCAAAAAGGATCTCTTAAGTCTTCAAGCTTTGGTCTGAATTTCTTAATGATAACAGAACAGTGAATGTTTAAATTGGAGAAATCAAGCAAGCTGTGATGGGTTTGACCTTGGCTGGATGCCCACCAGAGCCGCTCTATCACTCCCTCTCTTCAACTGAACAGAGGGACTAAAATGCAGTGAAAGGCTCATGGGTTGAGATGAGGGCAGGGATAGAACATTCACCAATTACCATTATAGGCAAAACAGACTCAACTTGGGGAAATCAGTTCAATTTATTACTAACGAAAATCGGAATAAGGTAATGAGAAATAAAACCAAACCTTAAGAACACCTTCCCCACTCCCCTCTCTTCTTCCCGGGCTCGATTTCACTCCTGATTTTCTTTACCTCCCCACCTTGAGCAGCACAGGGAGACAGAGAATGGAGGTTGTGGTTGGTTCATCACATGTTGTGTCTGCTGCTCCTTCCTCCGCAGGGAGGACTCATCACACTCTTCCTCTGCTCCAGTGGGAGGTCCCGCCCACAGGAGGCAGTTCTCCACGAACTTCTTCAACATAGGTCCATTGCATGGGCTATACAGAGCAGCTGTATATGAGCTGCTCCAGCATGGGTCTGTTATTCAGAGAATATTTTTAAAAATTAAATAAATGAATTTTAAGTCTAGCATTCTGTTTTCTTTCTGCTTTTTGTATAGTTTTGGGTTCATGCATTATAACTGAAATTTGTTTCTGCCGTCTTCCATTAATCTCAGCTGATGCTATGCCAGGCGTTCAGAGATGGCAGACGCGCCTCTGGACACTTGTAACTAAACTTATTGAAGCAAGGACATCAGGAACCATGCCAAATCCTGAGCTTCTGAAAAAGAAAGAGAAGGCTGAAGCCAGAAAGATCTGGGAGCAGAAGAATCTGGTGATTTCTGAGGTGAGAAGAAACACTGACATAGTTTGTAAATGACTGAATAAGTTGCTGCTTATGCTAAAACCTTATGCTTGACTTACAGAGCCAGAAGTTTTGCCCCCACATGAGTAACTAATAATTTTTAAGTGAATTATTATCTGTATAAGTAGGTCTATTTACCTACAAATTCTATGGGACAGAACAATTTTGCAAAGTAGTAAGATCAGGATTAGCGAAATTTCCCTGCTGTGTGCCTCATTTAAAGGATGAAACGTTATGGCATTAAAATGCTATCAATCCGGGTTTCGAGTGACTCCATTTCCACTAGCAAAGTTATAGGTGAATTATGGAGATTATCCCTACCAACAGCTTTTGATCTGTTTGAAGTCACACCTCATTATCATGCCTGCTGTTTCATACAAGCTGAAAAGAAGTAAATGTATTAGCATCTCCTAAACAAAATTACTGAAATGATTGTTCATCTCTTCTTACGTGTCATCTCATGCAGTGATTAGTGTCAGTTCCATCATCCAAGACTCAAAAGGAGGCATAAATATATGCAAAATCAACTTAAAAGATTTTTCTACAGATAAAAGCTTTTCCTGATTTAAACCCTATGGTGAGGGAAATTCCAAGTCTTTTAAAAGACTTTAGAATTACAATCTTGTAATCTATGGACAAGCTCTCACCAGCATAACTGGATTTGTAAGTATGAAGGCCTCTTGTAGAAACAAAGGGAAGGTAACAATGTCCCCAAGGAATGATAACATTGTATCTCCACCATAAGAAGGACATGGAGCTGTTGGAGCAAGTCCAGAGGAGGCCATGCGGATGAGCAGGGGCTGGAGCAGCTCCTGTATGAAGACAGGCTGAGAACACTGGGGCTGTTCAGCCTCGAGAAGAGAAGCTGCGTGGAGACCTCAGAGCAGCTTCCAGTGTCTGAAGGGGGCTACAAGGCTGCTGGAGAGGGACTCTTCATCAGGGACTGTAGTGATAGGCCAAGGGGGGATGGGGT